CCATTTAAATTTCCTTCTACAATATAAATCTAGCTGCAATATAGTATCATAACTCAGGGGCCCATTTAGTGGCCACTTGTCTTGACATCCTAACTCATATTATGGCCAAACATGATTACATAGCCTAACAAATTTCTTTGGTTTTAATCCCAGTAGTCTGAATCTTTCCCAATCCTAGAGGATGAGACCCAGGGGGTATTGGTTGGGATTGATGCTGTCTGACCCATTTCAGAGCCAAATCAGGGATGATGTCTCTAATTCCTGTTTTATTCAAAATTTTACCCTTAAGTCAGAATCCACCACACAATTTGGTCAAGATTTGCACTTACGATTTTAGATGCTATCCCTTCCAAGGGAGCCTCCCAACCAGTTGTTAGTACCCAAAAGCTGTCACAAAGAAATGGCACAAAGACATCCCCAATGGTGTTGATGATGAGCTGGAGGTGGTTTAGCTATAAGTTGGGGATAAAGGGTCAACACTTGTAAGGGTAAGAGGGAGGAGAATGAAAGCAATCTTCTGGGGTTAACAGAAGAAACAGATCAGAAATGAATAAGAACAAAAAAAATGTAGGAGAAAAACCTCAGTCAAAGATAACAGTATAATTCTGTCCTGGACGTGCGTAAGCATTCAGAATTGACCTGTCAGTCAAAAATAAGCAGACAACAGCAGAGCATTTTCCTCAGTATCCCTGGCTCAGGTGTCCTGGGAACCTCTTTAGGACCAAGACCTGACTTTAAGCCTTTTCTTACCTTATCACCATCCCTTTGTGGTTGCCAGCTGAAACCGTTTAACACAGATTGGGACTCGAACCCATGTGCTGGGACTCAAACCCAGCCAAAACCCACAGTACCTGGTTTTTAGGACCTAATGAAGTTCAGGTTCTTGATATCTCATCGCAGAAAGAATTCAGTGAGAGACAAAGTGATAGGTAAGAAGTGGATTTATTCAGATGCAGAGAGAAGCAGACTCCACAGACGAGTGCGGGCCATCGCAGAGGGAAAATACGGCCATGTTTTCTTATTTAATCCTCCCACGTCAGTCCTTTAGAGACTGCACTTTATTCACCGAGTTTATAGATGAGGGAACAGTGTTTTAGATTTAGGAATTTATCCTAAGACACAGAGTTCATAAATGGTTTATTCTATTGACTTAATTAATGTGTTAATACAAATATACAGACATAAACAAACTCACACAAGTAAACACAAATACTTGCACATTCTTTTTTTTAAAAGACTATGAATATATTTTTCCTTTTTAAAATGAAACAAAGGTGTTTGTTGTTGTTGTTTCTCCTGTCAGCATCTGCTTAAATAATGACTATACAGTAGCAGTTCCATCCTTGTGTAGAAAGGTCAATGCATTTATAGTCACACAGAAGAGTGCTTAAGTCTCTTGTGGCTATTAACTCAAGTAGCAAATGCTCTGATCCTAATGCTGCACTTTGTTCATTTTTTAAAAAAAAAGATCAATTAAAACCAAAAGGCTATTTAAACATAGGCTCATTTCATAGTAAAACTCATCTTAAAGCATATTTGTGCTTTTCCTAGGGAACTGTGGTAATAACATGTTTTGAATATACTTGGAACTATCTTTTTAAAAAGGATCACAAAGGACCTTAAACATAGGTGCCTGAGGAGCACAAGTGTAGGAGGAATATTTAGGGAAACAAGTGGACTCATTGGAAAAGACCCTGATGCTGGGAGAGATTTAGGGCAGGAGGAGAAGGGGACAACAGAGGATGAGATCATTGGATAGCATCATTGACGCAATGGACATGAGTTTGAGCAAACTCTAGGAGACAGTGAAGGACAGGGAAGCCTGGCATGCTGCCCCATGGGGTCGAAAAGAGTTGAACATGATTGAGCAACTGACCAACAACAAATGAGACTTTACAAAAGACAGACTTCTCAAAATTTTATTTCAACTTTTTGGATAGAAAACACTTGATAGAATATTTAGAAAAATACTGAGAGATATCTAATTCTGTTCATGCATTTAAATGGTAGATTGAGTGGCTATGTTAGTTTACTAGGCTGCCATAAGGAACTGCTTACACAAGAGAAATGTAGTTTTCTTACAGTCCTGGTCACGTCCATGGTTTCTTAACGTCCATGGTCACAGTGTCAGTGGGGCTGGTTCTTCTGAAACTGCTCTCTTCCCTTGCAGGTGTCACCTCTTGCTGTGTCCTCACAGGGTTGTTCTTCTGTGCATTTGTGCTCTGGTTTTCTCTTTGTGTGTCCAAATCTCTCCTTATTATAAGGACTGGCTTCCCACGTGGCTCAGTGGGTAAAGCGTTCACATGCATGCAATGCAGGGGACGCAGGAGATGTGGGTACGATCCCTGGGTTGGGAAGATTCCCTGGAGGAGGGTATGGCAATCTGCTCCAGTATTCTTGCCTGGAGAATCCCATGAACAAAGGAGACTGGTGGGCTACAGGCCATAGGGTCACAAAGAGTTTGACATGACTGAGCGACTGAGTACATTATAAGGACAACAGTCAGGGGTTCACCCTATTGCCCTCCTTTTAATGAGTCACCTCTTTACAGGCCCTTTTTCCAAATACAGTCACATTCTAGGTATTGAGGATTAAGGCTTCAACATATATAACATTTTGAGGGGACTCTGTTCAGCTCCTAAGAGTGAACTGTAGCTGCAAAGAGCTCAGAGTTCTCTCAGATCTAGAATGCATTTTCTTCAAAATTTTCACTGCATGTAAATTGACCACCATTTAATTTGCTAGTATAATATTTCTTCTCAGGAGGCAGGTGAAGTGGTCTGGTATTCCCATCTCTTGAAGAATTTTCCACAGTTTGTTGTGATCCACACAGTCAGAGGCTTTGGCATAGTCAATAAAGCAGAAGCAGATGGTTTTTGGGAACAATCTTGCTTTTTCAATGATCCAATGAATGTTGGCAATTTGATCTCTGGCTCCTCTGCCTTTTCTAAATCCAGCTTGAACATCTGGAAGTTCACGGTTCACGTACTGCTTAAGCCTGGATTGGAGAATTTTGGGCATTACTTTGCTAGCATGTGAGATGAGTGCAATTGTCCAGTAGTTTGAGCATTCTTTGCCATTGCTTGTCTTTGGGATTGGAATGAAAACTGACCTTTTCCAAACCTGTGGCCACTGCTGAGTTCTGCAAATTTGCTGGCAAATTGAGTGCAGCACTTTCACAGCATCATCTTTTAGGATTTGAAATAGCTCAACTGGAATTCCATCACCTCCACTAGCTGTGTTCATAGTGATGCTTCTAAGGCCCACCTGACTTCACATTCCAGGCTGTCTGGCTCTAGCTGAGTGATCACACCATTGTGGTTATCTAGGTCACGTGGTTCTTTTTTGTAGAGTTTTTCTGTGTATTCTTGCCACCTCTTCTTAATATCTTTTGCTTATGTGAGGTCCATGCCATTTCTGTCCTTTACTGTGCCTCCTGAGAAATCTGTATGCAGGTGAAGAAGCAACAGTTAGAACTGGACATGGAAAAACCGACTGGTTCCAAATTGGGAAAGAAGTACGTCAAGGCTGTATACTGTCACCCTGCTTATTTAACTTATATGCAAAGTACATCATGTGAAATGCCAAGCTAGATGAAGCACAAGCTGGAATCAAGATTGCTGGGAGAAATATCATAACCTCAGATATGCAGATGACACCACCCTTATGACAGAAAGCGAAGAAGAACTAAAGAGCCACTTGATGAAAGTGAAAGAGGAGAGTGAAAACGTTGGCTTAAAGCTCAACATTCAGAAAACTAAGATCATGGCATCTGGTCCCATCACTTCATGGCAAATAGATGGGGAAACAGTGCAAACAGTGACAAATTTTAATTTTGGGGGCTCCAAAATCACTGCAGGTGGTGACTGCAGCCATGAAATTAAAAGACACTTGCTCCTTGGAAGGAAAGCTATGATCAACCTAGAAAGTGAAGTGAAAGTGAAGTTCCTCAGTCGTGTCCAACTCTTTGCGAACCCATGGACTGTAGCCTACCAAGTTCCTCCATCCATGGGATTTTCCAGGCAAGAATACTAGAGTCGGTTGCCATTTCCTTCTCCAGGAGATCTTCCCTACCCAGGGATTGAACCCGGGTCTCCCACATCATAGGGAGACGCTTTACCATCTGAGCCACCAGGGAAGTCCCTATGACCAACCTAGACAGCATATTAAAAAGCAGAGACATTACTTTGCCAGCAAAGGTCCATCTAGTCAAAGCTGTGGTTTTTCCAGTAGTCCTGTAGGGATGTGAGACTTGGACTATAAAGAAAGCTGAGCGCCAAAGAAGTGACGCTTTTGAACTGTGGTGCTGGAGAAGACTCTTGAGAGTCCCTTAGACTTGCACGGAGATCAAACCATTCAATCCTAAAGGAGATCAATCCTGAATATTCCTTGGAAGGACTGATGCTTAAGCTGAAACTCCAATACTTTGTCTACCTGATGCAAAGAACTGACTCCTTGGAAAAGACCCTGCTGCTGGGAAAGATTGAAGGCAGGAGGAGAAGGGGATGACAGAGGATAAGATGGTTGGATAGCATCACTGACTAGATGGACATGAGTTTGAGCAAGCTCCAGTTGTTAATGGACAGGGAAGCCTGGCATACAGCAGTCCATGGGGTCACAGAGTCGGACATGACTGGGCAACTGAACTGAGCTAACTGCATGTTTTAATTTATTTATTAAAATGACATTCCTGCTTTCCTGCATTACCCCAAAAGGGGTCATACAGCGTTGTTCTGGGTTCCCCATGGACGTTAAAGGAAAAGGATCACAATGTTTGGAGCCCTTGATGTCCTGCAAGTGAGAAAGGAAGGTATCCTCAAATTGTTTGCAGCAGGAACCCACTTAGGTGGCACCAACCTTGACTGCTAAATGGTCTATGAAAGGAAGAGTAGTGGTGTTACTTCTTACACCTACCGAGAGAAGCCTCCGCCGGCAGCTCCTGCCATAGCTGCCATCGGATACTGGGCTGATGTCAGTGTCATATCCTCCAGGGATACTGGCTAGCGATCTGGGCTGAAGATTGCTACTGCCACTGGAGCCATTCCTTCTGCGGGCTCCTTCTCTTCTGGAACCTTTCCTAACTCCATCCAGGCCTCCATTCCGGAGCCAAGACTTCTAGCGGGCTGATCTCGGAGGCGTCTTCTGTTAAGCGGTCTCTCATCGCCCTGTCCCGGTGACTCTCCTCTGCGCCATCCCCGAGCAACAACAATGCCGGGTGGATGCACGGTGAGAAGTTCTGCGCATGCGTGGCGCCGACTCCCGTGAGCACCCTCGGGAAGGTCAGCCTGATCTCTACTCGTGATGAGCTGGCTGCTGCAGGAAAGGCCTCGACTCGGGAGGAAGTTCAGGGTGAACGGACTGCTCCAGCGCCCAAATGTACTGCTGCCTGACATGAAGTTGCAGATGGGTCTGCAGATACCCTCTGGGCCCATCCAGCATTTCCTACTGAAGACTGCCGCGCTCAGCCCAACACCGAGGACACGATTGCAGCTCCCACTGCTTGGGCCACTGAACAGGTAGGAACAACCACTGAGTGGTCTTAAATTGCTCTTCCACAGACCCTTAAACAGGAAATGGAAATAAGACAGGCAGAAAATAAAGTTTCCAAAAAAAATAAAAAAGACATTTCTGAATCAGCTATACACACAGATACATATATATGATATGAGGAGATATATATATATGTATATATATATATGTGTGTGTGTGTGTGTGTGTATCCCCAGGTATATATGAGTGTGTTAAGGTAATAGAGAAATAGAGAGACAGCTGGGGTTACATCTGCCTTTTAACTCATGCATTTATATGCAAAAGTGTGTACCTATTTATTGACCAATTACACATGATCAGATGAATAACCAGAATCACACATTTTCACAATGTTAAAAGCATTCTGTTTAAAAATGAATTTGAGTAAGTTTCTTTTTTAGATTAACCTACAATTTCAAGCTACATTCAACCTGGTTTTTGGATGCATTTGTATAGACTAAAATAAATTATGTGGGGTTGTACTCTGAGTTAAAAGTCATCCCAAGTATGTTCAATAAGAGCCCCGCTGTTGTAGATTGTATTTTCCAAAAATGGCTGCAAGAACATGTCCAATCCTACAGACTTTGGCAATTTCCCAGTCCAGAGGAGGAGTCTGTGCCTTTCTCCACTGCAGTCTTCCTCTTTAAAACTTGGTGGGCCCTTCTGACTGCCTCCATAAATAGAAAGCAGTAGAAAAATTACTATGGACTTCTGAGAACAGGTCATAAAAGGCAACATGGCAGTTTTTTGTTTTTTTTTAAATTTGCTTAGTTAACTATTTATAGATGGTTTTCAAATATATGTTTAATCTTTTAAATGATGCATATAGTTTAAAATTTACTTAATTTCTTAAAAATGATTCATATAATAAATATTGTTACCATTATATAACACATATGTTTGCCTTTCCGTAAAATTTGGTTGTCTGTTTTTATTGTGGAAATAGTGTCTCATAAATCAGTAGACAGAATTATTCTGTCTACTGCCTTAAATTATGAAAACTTAATTAATAGTCTTAGGTTGGCTGTTTTTAACCATCAATATTTTATTTCTCCAGAGAAGTTTCTTCATTTATTAAAAAATAGAAAGTTGTACCAAACCAGTATTTTCCAGATTTTATGACCATGAAATTACCTAAGACATTTATTATAATATTCCAGGTCTCTCCCGGTGAAGATTCAGTAGGTCTGCTTAAGACCTTCTTTTTTTTTTTTCTTAACAAGACCCTGATATGACTCTTATGTTTAAGCAAGTTTGTAGGAAGATATCAAACTAAGTAGAACTACATTTAATTCATGATTATCATAAATAATGGGAGCAGGATGTTAATAATTCAAAGAAGTGTATAATTCCCAGGTTTTGTACTTTTAAATTCCAAATAAGTTCTGCATTATTTTTTCTACTGTTACACTGTCCTAATTATTCTTTCTCATTGAGATATAAAAATTAGTATTAGTTGCAACCATATACAGTTTCATCAAAGAATTTAAATTACAGGGCAGAATTCTTGAGGCACTAGCCTACTGTGTACCCTCTTTGCCTATTAAAGTAACAAAGTCACTTTTTTTCTCTTCCAAAAAAAAAATCTGATGTTACAATAAAATCTGTATTTTATAAAATAATATGGCAGCAAAATGTAGGAGAAATTGAAGGAAAGAAAAAATATATATATATTCAGCTCCAAATAGTTTTTCCTTCGGGAAATTGTCACCTATGTTGTCAAAAGATGCTTTAAAAAATTACTGCTTGAAGATTTTATATTTAATTAGCATATGTCTTCACGTCTAAGACTTTCTTGGGGCCACAATTCAGCACTCTAAAATTGGGCTATGTACCTTGTAATCTCTGTGAACATTTCACATCGCATTTTTCTTTATTAGTGATGCCATGGAAGTTATTAGAAATAGGATGGGTGGTTGATGAGCTAATGACTCTACAATCCACCTGTAACACTCAGTTTTACATACTCTGAAGCCAGGTCATGCTGTAGATGAGAGGGCTATTTATCTCCCCTGCCGTGGTAGCTTTTGGCAGAGAATATTCCCATGCTAAGACATGGGCACCAGCAGGATAGGGTAAGTTAAAAGGGGTGAGACTAAGAACTCACAGACAGAAAGGATCATGTGGGCATGGTGATACATCCATGGAAATTAGATACAGCAGGGATCTGCATGCAAGTTTTCCAGGTTAAACCAAGCAGTGGGTTGGTAACTGTAGTGGGGAATGCAGGAGTAGGGAAGGAGAAGAGAATCTGTAGCTTGTTCCAATTTCCCTGGTATAAATACTCCTACCAAAACCACTTTCAAGCTATCAAAATGAGATAAATGGACTTGCAAAGTGTTTGCACTTTTAACAACTCTTTGGTATGAGCTAGTATGGGTCAGCTCCAGCACACTGGCAGTACTGCCACAGAGGTTTATAACTCTGGATAATGGACCAGGAATCAGCAACTAGGCAGAGAGATTGCGTGAGAAGTTGCCTGAATCCAGGCAAATTACCTGGGTGATACGTACCAGTATCATCATCAAGAAAAACCTAGCAATGTCATTGAAAAATCATCTGAGCCATGGCCTCCTTATATTTTTCTTCTTCTTAAAAAAAAAAAATCCTATGGGGGTAGGTTGGAGGCAGGTGGAAGCAGGTTGGCGTATCTGCTAGAGTAGAGCCCATATGGCAGGCCCTGCCTTCTTTCTCGCAGGTAGGTAGGCTGGGTTTCTGGGTTATTAGTGTTGCTGAGTCCAGAGTCCAAGCTTGTACTGCTCATGGGCCCAACAGGCTGGTAAATCGAGAGATGAATTGTTGGGGGCAAAGAACAGTGACTTTATTAGACAGAGAATGCCTGCAGACTGAGAGGTTGGTGGACTAGTGCCTCGGGTCCAAGCCTCTCTCTGATAAACTACCTGATCCTCTTCTCCAAAGCTCCCTGCGAGGCCCAAGGGCTTCAAGCTTTTCCTCTCTTATAAAGTCCAGAGGCTCTCCCAAGTATGAATTTATGACCCTAGGCCCAGATTGACAACACTTCTGTCCTGCTCCTTATAAATCCACACCACATGGTTGTGTGTTGGAGGCCTCTTTGTCCCTCTCTCCCTGTTTATTTATTTATTTATTTTTCCCTGAGAAAGAGCTAGGAAAGTAGTTTGGCATCCTCTTTTCTTGACTTTTGTAGGAAATCATCCCTGGAGTACAAATTAGAATTATGCCTCCCTAAGCCATTTCTTGACCTCTCTATATAGATGGTCCCCAGTCAAAACTTTAGCTATACTCCCAGCATTTTTTCCCTTTTCAGCTTTATTTTCATCCCTAATATTCATCACTGACTGGAACGCCATACATTCTACTTCTATATTCGTCTATAGTTTTATTTTTTTTCTCCACTAGAATGTAAATTGCAAGAAATCAATGCTTCTGTCAGTCTTGTTCATTGCTGTCTCCCTGGCACCTTGACTCATGGCATATCACAGGTACTAACAGTTATTGAATATGTGAACACAAAAGAATGAATGAACACATTCTGGAGGGCAGGACTCAGAGCTGGTAATAGGGCTCAAATCTGTGGTTTTCTAGTGTCTGGCATCATGAGAAATAAGATGAAGGTCATTTCCATGCGCGGCTATTATTTATGTTTTATTCATTTATCCATTCAGTTTGTTGAGAGCCTTTTGTATACAAGGCTCGGTTCTATATACTGGAAACTGGTTCAGAATTCCAGGATAGCAGGTTCATTAGGGTCAATAGGGTTTAGAAATGATATTACTATACACAGTTATGAGTGTTTACTTACATGCTGGCTGAAAGAATATGTGAACGAATGCTATGGTAAGTGTCCTGGTTGAGGTAGGTGCAAAGTGGGACCCAGAGAAAGATGTGAGTGCCTTGAAGGAGATGGTGGACAGGTGGGCATGAATTTACAGAGGAGAAAACATTTATTTTATGGACTAAAGGAGTTGTTGGCAGACTTCACGCTGGGTTGAAAGAACTGAATGGCCAAAACAGATAAGGAAGCTTATGGCATTTTGAGGGAATTGCTGAGTTATTTGTGACCAGGGGTAAGGCTGGGAATGTAGATTGGGACAGGATTTGAAAATATGTTAAGGATTTTAAATTTATATGCAGTAGGTTATGGGAAACTATTTAAGGTTATTAAGTGGAGAGTGCCATATATGTTATATATTTCAGAAACATGAACTCTTTTGGTGCAAACTGTTTGGAATTGGAGGAAGAAAGAGATTTCATACAGGAATGCCTGCTAGGGAGCCATGACTTTGGTCCAAGTGGAGATGATGAGGACAAGGGTAACTAATGGGAGCAGAGTGCAGACGGTAGAGTATGTAGATATTCTGGAGGTATAATCCATAGGATTTGATGAAAAGAATAAGATAAAAGGAGGAATGAGGAACAGTTTCTGACTCAGGAACTGATACATTGTTTTATCCTTAACTGATAGGAGTAATACATATGGTAGAGATTAGGCTGGTGGAAAGATGGGGAGGGAGATACCAGTTTGCTGTTAGACATGCCATATTTGAATTGCAGATGCTCTTCAGAAGGTGATCCCTGAGCCCAGTATAAAATGGGATTGTAGATGAAAATCTGGGGCTCAGCTGAGGCTGTGAGCACCATCAGAAGATGTAGAGCCAGCATAAAAGCAATCCTAGGATAGAGTCCTGAGGTATACGAAGATTTAAAAGAAATTGCTAAAGATGGACAGTGAATACTGTTTCACTAGAACCAGAGGAGAGATAAGGTAGAAATGGTTAAATAAAAAATCCTGCAGAAGTCAAGAGAATAAGGTTCAGCAGTTAGGTGTCCTGAGCGACCTTAACAAGAGCCATTTCAGTTGGATTCTGAGAGTGACAGTTGCATT